CCTAGGATAGTCTCCCTTCCTTAAAGTCCACTGACAATGGACTTTAAACACGTCTACAAATAACTTCACAGTAACACCTGGATTTGTGTTGGACTGAATAACTGGGGACTGTAGCCTAAAAGAGTTGATACTTCAAAAGACCATCACTGTACGGAATAGGGAAACAGAAAAATATGATTTCTTAGCGACTCCTTTGAGTTCCTAGATCAAACCATGCCCGAACACCACACTACCTCTGCACTTGCCAGAAACTCAGCCTTTGGCATCTCAAGCTGTGTCTTCTGTAACTTGCAACCCACAGTCCTAACTGACACAAGAGGGACCCAAAACAAGGTGACTACATTCTGACCACACGTCCCAAGAAGGATTGCGTTCCAGTCTGGGTCCCAGATAGTGTGAAACACATTGTCACCCACCAGGGTGAATACTAGGGTGGTCAACGCCACTCAGAGGAAGATGTTTACTGAACATGTGCTCTGTGTTGGCCCCGAGCTCCATGCTCTGGTCATGGACGCAGAGGGGACACTTGCTTTGCGCATGGGGATGGGTAAGCAAACAGCGGGCAGCCAGAGTGGACAATGCCATGTGGCAGAGCAGAGGACAGTGCGGGTCCTGTGGGAGTCCATGCAGGCATCAAGGACCCACTCCAGCCTCTGTGGGTCAAGGCAGGCTTCCTGAAGAAAGCGATATTTCAGCTCTGTCTGGAAGGATGAGAAGCAGCAAACCAGGAAAACTAAGTGAGGGAAGGGTGCCCCAAGAAGAGGGAATGGCATATTTGAAAGGTAAAGTGCCCTGGTTACGGTGACAATAAGCCCTAGTGAAAGTTAGTACTGTGTGACTTGGAGCAAGTCACTTAACCTCTCTGAGCCTTGGTGCCCTCAAGTGATGACAATAGAATAAGCGCATTAACACTTGCCCTGGCCTTGAAGCAAGGCAGCAGGTCCAGAGCTAGCTATCATCATCACCATCACCATCATCAACAGGAAAGGACTGGCAGGAAAGGATGGCTGGATACCTCAGACAGTGCTCCAGGCCTCAAGGAGTCAGGGAAGAATTTGAAACCAGGGCTGACAAGAGTGGATTTCTGCTCCTGTGAGGGGAAAGGACTCTAGGCAGCGAGACATTAATCATGATGCAATTGTGAGAAAAGCTCTTGAAGCCACTTTCATGGAAAAGGGTCCAAGACATGGGGATGTTTGCTCTGAAAGAGAGCTGACTCTGTCTGAAGGGACAGGACTGAGTGCTTGGGAACAGACTGAGGAATGAGGGTGGCCTTGGGATCACTCTGGGGCTGTTCTGTGGAAGAAGGTTCCAGAGTTTTAAGCAAAGGAGGGCAGCACCAAGGAGTCATCACAACTCACCTTCACCTTGAGAAGAATTTGCATTAGCCAGAGCTGCCCAGAGCCTGGAGAGTGGCTCTAGCAGGCAATGAGCTCCCCATCCGGGGTGGTATGCAAGCAGAGGCTGGATGTGCACTTGGTGGGGATGTAGAGAAGGAAGCTCAAGCACCACGCAGGTTGATGGAGGTCAGTTCCAAGTTCCTTAATCTGTTATTCTACTGAACCCCAGGAAGATAGTGTGGTAATTTCCTGCGGCTGCTGTAACAAATCACCACAAACCAAGTGGCTTTAAACAACACTGCCTATCTCACAGTTCTGGAGGTCAGAAATCCATTCTGGGTCTCACTAGGCTAAAATCAAGGTCTGAAAAAAATCAAATCAAATCAAGGTCTCAGCGGGGCTGCATTCCCTTCTGGAAGATGTGGGGAGAATCTTTTTCCTAGTCTTTTCCAGCTTCTAGAGGCTTCCTGCATTCCTTGGCCGTGGCCTCTTCCTCTGTCTTCAAAGCCATTAGAGCAAGACCTCCCAAATTCTCTCTCGCTCATGCACCACGCCGGCCGCCACCTCCACGCCCATCCCACTGCCCCACAGCATTCCTCACCTGGCAGATGGAGCCTCTGGAAGTTCACTGTCTCTCCATCACCCCGGGTGCTGCGGGGACTCCCTGGCTCTTTCCTCTCACCCACAAGGACAGCAACTCCAAGTCTATCACTCACTGTTTCATCCCCACTGTCCATCGCAGGCCTGCACACTGCTGACTGTCATCAAATACGACGGTCCAATGAATCAACAAGAATTCATTCAAAGAAAATGACTAGAATCTGCTCAGAGTCACCTGATCATTACCTCTGGCTGTTCAGCTCTCCTGGCATAACGAGGTACTGAGATGGGGCCCACGCTCCATCTAACACACAAAAGGGTATAGGAGAAACCTCTGGAGAAAGACAAAGACTTTAATTTGTAGGGGAATTCCCACCTGTATTTTTTTAAAGATTTTATTTATGTACTCATGAGAGACACACAGAGAGGCAGAGACATAGGCAGAGGGAGAAGCAGGCTCCCCATGGGGAGCCCAATGCAGGACTCGATCCCAGGAGCCCGGGATCGCGCCCTGTGCCAAAGGCAGATGCTCAACCACTAAGCCACCCAGGCGCCCTTCCCACTTGTATTTTTAACTTTCACCTTCCAGATAGAGCAGTCTGATGTGGAAGGAGAGGTGGATGTGCTGAGGCCAGGGCTGCAGAGCAGGGATCGGCAAAGGATGTGGTAAGCAGAACACGCACGTGGGGTCCCCAGGCCGCCCGCATCCAGGGTGGGGGTCTCCAGCAGCCGGGGTGGGACTGACTCGGCTGTGCTCGGTGGGTTCCTCTGGGGCTGGCGCCTCGCTCCAAGTAACAGGATGAACCACCATCAGCTCATCTCAGCCAAACCTTCCTTGCGCGTCTGCTCTGCCCTGCCGGCTGTGGGGCCCTGAGCCAGGAGGTGAGAAAGGAGTGGTAAGGGACGGAGATGACAGCCGGTTCGCTCAGAGTCTGGAGCTTGAGGCACAGCGGAAGCCTCTGCTTTGCCCAAGAAGCTCCGGCAACAACCACACACAGTGTCCCGAGGGAGACAAGCCCGATCTCCCAGCAGCATGTTTATCGCGACTTCAAATGCACAGACAACTCCTGTTTTCCAGCAACATCCCCTCCATCTGAATGGTCCGAGGATTTGTTTTGGTGCACAGCCTTGTTTTTTCTTCCCTGTCCTGAATTTGAAGCTCCTTCGGTGAGCCCATCCAGAAGCCCTGGAGCATTTCAAAGCAGACCTGGCATCCCTGGCCGGGTCAGCTTGTCCGCCTGGGAGGCCCACACCCTAGGCTCCTCCACGGAGGGAGGAGACTCCTTCATCCAGAAGAAAACCACCTCTCTGTTTGCTGCTTGCCCTCTTCCCAGCACACATAGTCCTGCCCTGTCCAGAGGGTGCCCGAGAGACTGTCCCCAGGTCATCTCGATAAAGGTGTTGAAAGAACAGTCTCACCTGCCAAATGGGGCTGGGAGGTGGGCATGGCTGTGATCCCTGCCCAGGGATTTAACACCAGAAAGCTAGATAAATAAAACATCAGGTCTGGAAGGGACCAGGGTGACGCTACTCTGTTTATGGACAGGGGATGTGCGGGCACCGGGTCAGGATAGGATTTCTCAGGGCAGACACGGCAGGGAGAGGCTGGAGCTGGACACAACACTCCTTTCTACCCTCCCTCGCAGCCGGAGCGGCCTTGGAGACAGACAGACACAGGCCCACATTTCTGTTCCTCATTAGCCTTGTGACCTCCATCTGTTTCATGTCCCCCGAGACCTTCTGCTTCCTCAACTGGGAGATGGGACAACCCCGCTCACTTGATGGGTTTTCTTCAAGCTCATGGCATTTGTGACAACAGCTGGTATTGCTGTCACAGAAGTGGTGCACAGTGATGCTCAGTGTTGAGTAAACCCCTGCCTCTCTGGCAGCTCCTTCTCTTGCTTGAACAGCCCAAGGACCCCAACTCATCTCTGACTGCGAGGGTCTTGCCCCTCACAGGGGCATGGAAGGGTGGATGAGGACAGGGCACAAAGTCCCATCTGAACCCTTTCACCTCCAGCTTTGTGACCTTGGACAAGTTGCTGGAACTCTCTGAGCTCTCTGAGACTGTTTTCTGTGGCAGCTGCCTCACAAGGACACTTGTGGAAACGGAGACGGTGACATTAGCTCAGACAGTGACATTAGCTCAGTGTCTTTTATTCATCACCACGGGCCTCTGAGCTAGGTGCTCTCATCATCCCCACTTCACATATAACGAGAGAGAGGAAAAAGCCAAGGAACCTGCCCAAGGGCATCACCGAAAGTGGGCAACCAAGCACCGCACTGCGCATCCAAGCAGAGGGCTTATCTTTTACCTGCTTGTCTGTACAGGAGCACTACTGCAGAGCCTCGTCACCAGATGACCTGTGCATTTTGAGAACCATCCCTTCCCTTGGGTCTGTTCTGTACCCAGGCCTGTGCAGGGGGCCTAGCTTGGGGGGGTGCCCACACCTCCCCCCAGCCACAGGCTGGAGCATGAGCCCATCTCCAGGTACAGAGACACAGCTGCTCAATGGGAAGACGACTGCCCAAGCTCCTTCTGGCTGGTCATTGGTGGGTGGACGTTGACACCACGCTGTGTGACCCCAAGTCCTGGATCACTGGTGCTCAGTCCATCACTTCCAGCGTCTTCCCTTCCCCTCTACTTCGGCTCTGGTTTTACCCCATGGTCCTCATTCTAACTGCAGAGCCTGACTCCCCACCCCTCATCCATCCTTGTCTTCCTCTCGTCCCCTGCTCCCTCATCAACTGATCCTACCATTTCTGGAAAGCCCCTGCCAAGAGAGAAACTTCTGTTCAAAGTGTGGGAGAGGAAGGCCCCCCCACCATCCCCGTCCTTTCCAGGTATCCCACACACCCCTGGACAGCCCTTCCTCTCACAAAAAGGGGGAGGGCTTCGGGTCTGAAAGGATCCAGTGTCCTGGCCAGGTGGGTGTGCTCCGATGGCCTTGGCTGGGCCCCACAGGAAACGGAGGAGGAGGCGTGGAGGACCACCCCCAAGCTGCTGCTTAAAGGGGCGCCCGCCAGGCCAGCGGGACGCAGTGAGGCTGCCTTTGCACCATGATGCCCCGGTTGCTCTCCCTGCTGCTGCTGCTCCTGGCTGGGCCCCCCACCGCACGGCCGGCTCCCCCAACCTGCTACTCCAGGATGCTGAGCCTGAGCCGGGAGGTCACCGGTGACTTCCAGAACCTGCAGGCCATAGAGCCCTCGGTGAGTCCCTCCTGCTGCCCTCTGCGGGCCAGGAGCTTCCGTGCGGACCCAGTTCTCCAAAACTTGCCTTTGGACCAGGAAAAAAAAAAAAAAAACAGCACTGTTTTTCTTTTCTGGTCAATGTTAAACTCAAGGGTTTGCGTTTTATTCCCATCCTGAGTATGATAACAATGGCTTGCATCCTCTTTTTAAATACAAAGAAAATCTATCAGGGACATCACAATGTCTTGCCTTTGTTTGGAACTTGCCAGCAACAACCAGAGGATCTGTTGTAAAATGTAAAATTAAAACAAAAAAAGAACTTCCCCAAGGAGCCTGGAACTCCGGAGTTAAGGAGGAATACAGAATTAAGTTGATTCTCTTCATAAGCCTGGTGATTATGAGTGTGTGCTAAGGGGTGACCCCCAGAATGGTGCCCACCCCTGACCATGACAGGACCCTGGGCACACTGCCCAGTCCCTGAATCTCAGCATGCTCGGATGTGAAAGGGCTGGTATAGCGCCCACCGCCCGCTTCGGGTGTCCTGAGGGTAAAAGCAAGAATGAGACACAGCCTGCACAGTGCTGGGCAGGGGACACCCCAGGAATGTTAGCACTGTTAGCACTGCCCTTTCAACAGGCAGACGCAGGCTCGGGGGGCAGGTCCAGAGGGCGTCTCAGAACTAGAACCCAGGCCCCCTGGCTGCTTATAGAAACGAATGAATTAAACTTCATTAAAAGCTTTGATCCAATCCAAGACGCCTGGGTGGCTCAGTCGGTTAACTGTCCAACTCTTGATTTCAGCTCATGTCATGATCTCAGGGTTATGAGATCGAGCCCCGTGTCAGGCTCCTCTCTCAGTGGGGATTCTCTCTCTCTCTCTCTCTCTCTCTCTCTCTCTCTCTCTTCCTCCATCCCCTGCATCCCATTAAAAAAGTTTTGAAAAAATTTAAAAGTGTCTCTTCACCTCCTTGTAAGCGCTTCAAACAAAATGTAGTGCTTCTCAGATGTGGGGTTATGATACACTGACACCTTTTCTTTTCTTTTAAAATTCAAATAATGTGTGCTTTTTTCCTAATTATAAAAGGCATACATAGTAGCCCCGCCCCCCATATCCGTGATTTCACAGCAGCTATGAAGCAGATGAGCCCCCTCCTGACATATGGTGAGATCAGTAGTAGCCTAACCCTACATCACAGGCCTACATCATTCATCTCATTCTCATCATGTGGGCATTTTATCATCTCACATCGTCACACGAAGGGTGAGTACAATGTAGGAAGAGTTTTGAGAGAGAGATATCACAGTCACATAACTTTTATGATAGTATGTTGTTATAACTGTTCTATTTTACTAGTAGTAGGTTTTGTTAATCTCTTACTGTGCCTAATTGATAAACTAAACTTTATCTAGGTTTGTATGTATGTTTGTGAACAAACATACTAAATATAGGGTTCAGTATGATTTATGGTTTCGTGCATTCACTGGGGTCCTGAACTATATCATATCCCCCACGTATAAGGGGGAGACACTGTACTTTATAGAAAACAAGGTTGGAAAATGCACAAAGGACAAAGAAGAAAACAAATATGACTTGCCATTCTCCCACCTAGAGGTGACTGCTGCTGTAACATTCTGGGGGAGAGTATTTCAGTTTTCTGACTTTGCATAGGTATTCAAATCCATATGTGTGTATGTGTGTGTGCGTGTACACGCGTGTAAGTGAATCAGCTTAAGGGAGGCCCTGGGCCTGTCTGGCTGTTGGAGGGTGGCAAAGAGCCTTCTGTGACCAGCTGAGGGTGCATTCCTGTGTGTGTCACTGCAACCCATGTTTCTTTCTGCAGGAGCCGTGTGTGAGATACTTGCCCAGGCTCTACCTGGATATACATGTAAGAGGGTCTTCCTGTCTAGGGAGGTGGGGGTGGGGGTGGGAAGAGAGCCCAGGGCAGAAGGAGGCAGGAGCCCCCAACTCCCATCTGTCCGGCCACTGACCTCCCCTGTGACGCCCTCTCTGCTGTCCACTCCCAGAATCACTGCGTGCTGGCCAAGCTGCGGGACTTTGTGGCGTCACCCCAGTGTTGGAAGGTGGCTCAGGTGGACGGCTTGAAGGATAAAGTGCGGAAACTGTACACCATCATGAACTCGTTTTGTAGGAGAGTGAGTGACATGCCTGAAAATGCCTTTCCTGCTTGTTATCAGCCAAGACGCTCAGGGCTTTTAGAAGAGGACGGCTGAGGGCAGGGGGTGGGTGGTGTGGGAGATGAGGAGGAGGAAGAGGAATGTTTTGGGGTGCTTCCTACCATTATCACCCTTGGTAAGTGATGGGCACTCAGGACAAGGCCTTCCCTTCCATGTCTCATACTGGTGTGGGGATAACACACAGGACCGCATGCTAACCATGTAAGACAAACTTTATGGGACACCCAGTGGCTCAGTTGGTTAAGCATCTGCCTTTGGCTCTGGTTGTGATCTCAGGATCCCTGGGATCCAGCCCCACGCTGGGCTCCCTGCTCAGCCGGGAGTCTGCTTCTCCCTCTCCTTCTGTGTTCTCTCTCTCTCTCTCTCTCTCTCTCTCTCTCTCTCTCTCTCTCACCAAACAGACCTCAGATCTTATATGTTTTCCTGCTTCCCTGATGGGAATAACTGGTCACCTCTCTGAGCCACAGTTCCCTCATTTGTGAACTGGAGACATAATTATACCCACCTCATGCCATCCTTGGAAGGATAATAATAATAAGTATATCCTGACCATGTGTGTGTGTGTGGTGGGGGGCTATAGTAAGTCCCTAGATCCTAAAAGCCCTAGCAGAGTGACCACACATAGAATTCCTAGCACCAGGCATGGCCCAGAGTAAGTCATCAGGATAAATAATTAGCTATTCAGTTTAATTTATTTGCTCATGCATCAAAGATTTCTTATAAATTTCCTCCCCCCACCCATTTCCCTCTCCCCTTGGTCTGCAGAGGGAAAGCAAGAAGAAGATATAATTATAATAGAGTATAATTTATATTTATAGGGGTGCCTGAGCGGCTCAGTGGTTGAGTCTCTGCTTTTGGCTCAGGTCGTGATCCTAGGGCTCGAGTCCTGCATGGGGCTCCCCATAGGGAACCTGCTTCTCCCTCTGCCTATGTCTCTACCTCTCTCTGTGTCTCATGAATAAATAAAATCTTTTTTAAAAAAATTTCTATTTATAATGCAGTATTAGGTCATGTTCTACAGGAATGAGAATATGTGGCCAGTTCTCCTTGGGAGAGTAAGGGACGGGAAGTCTTGATACAAAGGGAAAGAACCAAACAGTCTGTAAAGCTAACCAGGAGTCCCAGAGTTGTGCATTGTCTCTGGGCCACATTCAGTGATATTCTCACTTATTGCAAATCTTTTTCAGGATTTGGTGTTCCTCTCGGATGACTGCAATGCGTTGGAATACCCAATGCCAGTGACCACCATCCTGCCAGACCATCAGAGATAGGGCATCTGGACCAGAGAGAGAGCCCCAGGGGACCACAGTTAATGTCACCTGCCCAGAGGCAATGGGCTAAAGCCACGCCCCCCACCAGGCCTCCCTGTTACTATAGCATCAGAAACTGTCACATCTCTCCCCTTCTGGAGAGCTGGGCTTGCGCTCTTCCCCTAGAACATACTTTGAAGGCAATTAGAAGCTTTGTTTTCATTTCCCCCTGGTATTGTCTTGCCAGGATGGATAGGTACACAAGGACGCTTATTAGATCACTGAGAAGAAAAAGCCAAACCCGCTTTCTTGTATGAACATCTAGTTTGAGAGCAAGCAAAACAGTAGACTTGTATTAGTGCTTTAATGGAGTACTGGTAACATTTTTCTTTCTTGATAGGAATCTGCTTATATTTAGCCAGGCTTCTATTTCATACCCTCTCCCACTACAAACTTTCCTTACAGTTACCTGTCATTTTTTAAGCGATTTCACTGCTAAATATAAATTGTATTTGCAGGGTTCATAGTTATATAATGCTGATGGGAACCACTCTTTCGTTGAAAGGTGATAAAAGTCAAATAAAGACTATCTCCACAGTAAGAAACGTGTGTTGAGCTGTGTCCAATATGTGTCCAATATGGATATGAGTGTTGATTTCACGCACGTTCTAAAAGTCACTGCTCTTGGTAAGATGAGGTTTTCTCCCTCTTCCCATCAAGCACAGGTGGTTCTGAGTCTGTTTCAACCCATCTGCATGAATATCTGTCCTTAAAGCATTGGGAGATGCTCCCATTTATATTTGAGGGCAGACCATACCTTATGTCATATCCATGGGCTGTGCAGTGCCCTGGAACTTCCCACAAACACCAGGTCACTGAGGTTTTGATTGGTGCACAAGTAACAAAAGAAAAATAAACACGTGAGACTACACGAAATTATAAAGCTTCCACACAGCACAGGAAACCATCAATGGAATGAAAGGCAGTTATGGAATGGGAGAAGATACAAACCATACATCTGATAAGGGATTAATATACAAAATACATAAGTAACTTCTGTAACTCAATAGCGAAGAAGAAGAAGAAAGAAGAAGAAGAAGAAGAAGAAGAAGAAGAAGAAGAAGAAGAAGAAGAAAAGTAATCCAATTTAAAAAATGACAAAGGATCTTAATAGACAGTTTCCCAAAGAAGACATACAAATGGCCAAAAGGTATATGAAAATATCACTAGTCATCAGAGAAATTCAACTTAGAGCCACAATGAGACATCACCTCATACCTACCAGGATGGCTTTTATCAAAAAGACAACACATGTAAGTGTTGGCAAGGATGTAGAGAAAAGGGAACCCTTGTATACTGTTGTGGGGAATGTAAATTGGTACAGCCATTATGGAACACAGTGTGGAAGTTCCTCAAAAAATTGAAAATAGAGACTCCTGGGTGGCTCAGTGGTTGCGCATCTGCCTTCAGTTCAGGGCATGATCCTGGGGTCCAGGATCGAGTCTTGCAATGGGCTCCCCACAGGGAGCCTGCTTCTCCCTCTGCCTGTGTCTCTGCCTCTCTCTGTGTCTCTCATGAATAAATAAAGACTTAAAAAAATTAAAAATAGACGTATCAGATAACCCAGCAATCCCAGGATATATAGCTGAAAGAAACAGAATCAGTGCCTTGAAGAGATGTCTGAACCATCATGTTCATTACAGCCTATTCTCAAAAAACCAAGATATGGAAACACCCTAAGAGTCCACCAGTGGATAAATACATAGAAAATGTGGATATGTGTATGTATTTATATACACAATGTATATATGTTTGTATATGTACATATACACACACAATGAAATATTATTCACCACGAGAAAGAAGGAAATCTTTCCATTTGCAACAACATGGATAAACCTTGAAGGCATCATGCTAAGTAAAATTAGCCAGACAGAGGAAGTTAAATACTGCATGATCTCACTTATACGTGAACTTTTGGGGGGAGGGGAGGTTGAATTCACAAACAAGAGAGAGTAGAATGGTGGTTACGAGACACCGGGGTGCTGAGGGAGGTGGATATCTGTCAGTCAAGGGGTACAAGACTTTAGTTATAAGATGAATAAGCTCTGAGAATCTATGGACAGCATGGTGAATGAATCTAGTTAATAATACCGTATCGTGGGCATTCCGGGTGGCTCAGAGGTTTAGTGCCGCCTTCGGCCCAGGATGTGATCCTGGAGACCCAGGATCGAGTCCCACGTTGGGCTCCCTGCAGGGATCCTGCTTCTACCTCTGCCTGTGTCTCTGCCTCTCTCTCTCTCTCTCTCTCTCTCTCTGTGTGTGTGTGTGTGTGTGTCTCATGAATAAATAAATAAATAAAATATAAAATAGTAATAATAATAATACCATATCATAGAACTTGAAATTTGCTAAGAGTAAAACTGGTTATACTTACACACACACACACAGGAACTCTGTGAGGTGATAGATGTGTTAATTAACTGAATTGTGGTAAATATTTTGCAAAGTAGAACAGATGTAAAAATGCCATATTATATATTTCAAATACATCCAATTTTATTTGTCAGTTACACCTCAATAAACCTGAAGAAACAAAACAGAAGAAACAAAACCCACTCTTCTTGTAAGGGCACCAATTATTGGATTAGGGCCCACCCTAGTGGGATATGACCTCATCTTAATTCAATAACATCTGCGTAGGACTTATTTCCAAATAAGATTACAGTCACCCATTCAAGGGGTAAGGGCTTCAACATAACTTTTTGAGTGATACAATTCAATCCACAACCATCCTTCTCTCAAGAGATAACCCCTTCGCAGAAGGAAATTATGCAACAAACTGTCACCACCACCATCTACCACTTCCCAACAGATACTAAATATGGAGGCATGGTACTGAGCACATAGCACCCACTCACCAGCTGAACCTTCAAAATGATGTTGCCCTTGGTGGCTGTCATCCACCTGGATTTACAGTGGAGAAAACACACTCAGGTCCAAAGGATAGGTGATTTCCTTAGAAGGCTGGTTGGTGGTGGTGGAGGGATTCTAGACAAAGAGCCAAGTGCTAGAAGTCTTCATTCCATGGCTCTGCTAACACTTCGCTATTTCTAGGTAGCAAAATAAGCCATTGAAGACAAGGACTAATTTACACATTTCAGACATTCGTTTGTTTGTTCATGTCTTCAATATTTACCGAGGGCTTATTATAAACTCGGCAAATATTGAGATGAAAAGCAAAGAATTCTTCCTCTTAGATTAGCAGAGGAGACATTTGCAAAATCTAGGAAGACAGCAGAGGAAGGAGCAAATAATTCTGCCTGAGATGAGGCAGAATGGTTTCTGTGGGATTCAAAGTAAGCAGGCTCTTGAAATATGACTGGGAGCTTGTTAAGCAGAAAGAAGATAGAGCACAGCGGAGGGCACAGAGATTTCTGGTGGAGGCGGATGGATCAAACTCCGGTGTGTGTTTGGGGAAGACAAGAAGTAGAGCTGGAGATGTAGTGGGGTCAGAATATAAACGACATTCGTTATGGTAAGGCCTGCCGGGGACACTTTGGCAGGGTGTCCATCCCACACCAGTTGTATAACCAGGGTCACATAAGGAGAATCCTTTTTGAGGCAGGGAGAATCCCTGTGGTTGGAACCCAGTGGTTGGGGGTTGTCAGAAGAGATCCTTTTGCTTGGGATTTCAAGTAGAGCAAATCAAGGGCACTGCTCCCCCCTGTGTGCCAGGCCATCACCGAGCCAGATGATAGGGCACCACGCAGGATGCCTTCCCCTTCTTTCTCCCACAGCCAACTGGTCAACCCTATCTTCTCTGACTCCTCGACTTTTCCATTTCCTCTTTACCACCTCAACACCAGTTCAGAATCTTCTCAAACATGACGTGCAGCCTTTGCTCAGGACTCAGGTCCTGAGACCTCTGGCAGGTCTCCCCACCTGGGGCTCTTTTGGTCCAGGTGAGAGTCTGGCTGTCACTGGTCCTTTCGTCTGAGGCTGTCCCATCAGAAAGGATTTTGTTTTTCTCATGGGTTTGTTGATAGTTGTAGCTGTGAAAGAAGATTCAGAATGGAGTAATCGTGGCTAAGGGAGTCACTCAAAGTAGAGTCAGGAGGATATTGAGGAAGGAAGACCTACGCACTTCTTTTATTTCAATCCTCAGAACACCACAAAAGTTTGACTTTGGTCAATTACAAACTCTAACCACTTCCTGGAACATATAACCTCCTGTTAGCCAAAGAGCCAATTGTGTATCTGATGATCAGTTTAAACTCTGGCAGCACCAATCATAATTCTTTCAAAACAACTTATGTAAACCTTGCTGATTTTGCCTTTAGAAAACCCTGCAGTCCTCCCACTCTGTCATGCCAGCACACTTTCAATGTCTGTCCATTCTCTCTCCTGGATTGCAATTCCTAAACCCCAAATAAATGCTTCTGGTTGCGTTATAACCTCATTGTGTTTTTGGTTGACAGAGACTATGTTCTGTTTCTTCAACTGACTAAACTCACCTGGTGACACAAAGCAGAGTCACTCACCTGTTAGCTGTGGTCAGTGGGCGATTTACTTAGCCTCTTTGTGCCTTGGTTTTCCCATCAGTGAAATGGGAATGACAATAATAAAAACCTTCATAGGCTGTTTAGGGGATAATGCAAACTCACGCTTTCAAAGCACTTAGAGCATCTGGACCCTAGTAAGGTTTCTACTTTGTTCTAATTAGCTCTGATAACATCAAGAGCAAATATGCTCTTGATGCTCTATAAAAAAAATAAAAATAAAATGGTAAATTGAAAAAAAACATGAGAGATGCTGAACTCTAGGAAACAAACTGAGGGTTGTTGGAGGGGAGATACGTGGGGGATGGGGCAACTTGGGTGATGGGCATTAAGGAGGGCACATGATGGGATGAGCACTGGTTGTTATATGCAACTAATAAATCACTGAACTTTACTACTAAAACTAATAATACACTGTATGTTAACTAAGTCGAATCTAAACAAAATTTTTTTTAATTT